CAACATAGGCTTCACTGAAACTGAGTATAGCCGGGCTGTTGTTTGAGTAACATACTGCTTTCAATGGATTTGACTGATGGTATTAAGGAAATCAGATGATAAAGCAGTAATTTCTCATAGTTCTTCAATACCAATAAACATCCATCATTTTTCTGGAACTAACAAAGTCTAGCAGCCGAATGACCTTTGGATAACTAATACAATTACTTGGGCTGCTTATTATCAGCCCTCAGCGTAAACATCTACCATGCTTTGGATATTGGGATGGTTTAGCGGTCGAATAACTTCTTATGCCGGTGATGAGATAGAAACACCAATAGTTATCATATTTCCACAGACGCCGACACCCATTTAAGAAGCTCGGGCAGATTAGCGGTCGAATGGATCACGACGACATCGCGAAGAAATGATATTTCTTGTCCAACATCTGGATAAGAACTTCAGTGACATCTCCCTTCCAACGCTTCTTATCAGCCCCTATCAGCTGTTATCACTATCTGGTCCCAGCAAATACGTTCCCATCTCCTTCAGTGCTGTTGGGCATTGCGCTGTCAATGTCGTGACATTTTCCTTCCGCTTCTTATCAGCCCCTATCAGCTGTTATCACTTTCTGGTCCCCATCAAATATGTTCCCGTCCCACCCCTATATCATATCTGCAAAACAACGCCTCAGTGCTGCTGGGCCTTGCGCTGTCAATGTCGTGACATTTTCCTTCAACGCTTCTTATCAGCCCCTATCAGCTGTTATCACTTTCTGGTCCCCATCAAATATGTTCCCGTCCCACCCCTATATCATATCTGCAAAGCAACGCCTCAGTGCTACTGGGTCGCGCTCCATGCATTTCGTGACGTCCGCGTTCTAACGTCCCTTATCACTCTTATCAGTGTTATCACTTTCTGTCCCCACCAAATATGTTCCCGTCCCACCCCCTATATCATATCCTGAAATCAACTCCAACGACTGCTGGTACGCGCGCTATGAATTTCGTGACAAACACACACACACCTACACACACACGCACAGACATGCTTAGCGAATTATATATAGTGAGATTATTTAAGTTATTGATCCAATGAAATACTTGCTGCCTTATCTAGAGCTCTTTGAACCGCCAATTCAAAGAGCTTTTAACAATGGTTTTTTTGAAGCGCTGCGGCTGAACAATCAGAGGGAAACTGGCCTTGTAGAGGTAACTGTTTCGAGCTAGCAGTTAGTTCTATAGTATAGTTCTTCGTTGTTGTCCGCTGAGAAGTGGAGTTTACCCTGAAGATGACGAGAATGTCGTATAGGTTGTTTATTGGCAGATGATATTCCCTGATCTTGCGATAATAATCGCTGTGATTGTGTACTTGGAAAGGGAACATTATCCGTCAAGAAACGGGGTGAATACAATTTTCAAACGGTTAACGTGAACAACTTGTCGTGCTGGACGACCTACAAGGTTAGTTATTGTAATATTTGGTCGATCTATTGACTCAACCTTGAACGGGCCTTTCCATTGGTTAGTTAACTTTGGACGAACTGTGTCGTCATGCAGAAGTACCAAATCTCTAATAGAAATGTCCGCTGTGCATACCTTGATCGTGTCCTGATTTGTAAATTGACGATTTTCTTGCAATTTCGTTCCCAACTTCTATTATGATGTTGTTTAGGCCGGCCGCGAACTGATCAGCGAAGTCATCCGATGCGAAGATACGACGCTGAGGCAGTTCATGGAGTATATCTCTCCATGTGATTGGATACCTACCATAAACAATGAAGAACGGGCTATAACCTGTTGTCGCATTTTTGCTGCAGCTGTATGCGAAAACAAAAAGGTTGGACAAAATCTGACCATTGGTGTCTAGCCTCTGAACAATATGCTGTTAAGGAGTCAGTGATCACCTTTACCAGTCGTTCTGCTTGCCCATTAGCCTTATGGTTATAAGCAGTGGTAAATTTATTCGTAATGCCGAGAGCTTTCATTGATTTTAGAATATACCTCGCTAGTGTAATTTCGAACCACGATCCGAAACAATTTCGTTTGGGATACCGTGCTTCGAAATGACATCATTGATCAGGGCTTTTACCACTGTATCAGTGGTCTGATCTTCTATCGACGTACATACTATAAATTTACTAAAGGCGCATACGGTTATTGAAATAAATTTACTTCCGTCCTCACATTGAGGCAACGGTCCAATTATATCTGTGTGAACACGTTCAAAAAGTCGAGTTGGTGTTGAGAAAAACCCCTTCATCTCGAATGACAAATTTTGGAGGTGCTCACACATTTTGGCATGTTATGAAATGTATAAGCTCTGCAGATTTGCATGCCCACGTTCAGGACAAACAACGATTTCCTCTTATGTATTTTACAATACAAAAGAGGAAGCGGGTAGCGATTTAATGATACCTGAATCGCTGTAGCGTTTTGTGCTACGTAAAGAGAATGCCAATGCAAATCACCTCAATCCTTTGCGCCCAGCCGGTGCAATTCTCGGCAAAAGGATCTCACGGCTCCTTGCGGCTGGCATGGCAAATTCGGAGTAATGAAGAGCTGTTTTTGCATAATTTCGGGAGACGATTTAAACAAATGGTCAATATGATAGCTTTCCGACACATGGGATGCTACTTCCCTGTTGCCTAGTCGTTGCACACCCTTAGCATAGTCGGACGCAGAGTTAAGGATTCGACCCCTCTGCCTCTCAAAAAGCTTCTCCGATATCTGATACTCGTAGTCGCGCCGCACTGTAGCACAATTCCCTGGTCAAGTTGGGAGATGAAATTACGTTTGTCATGACGTATTGTTGGCTCGAACATCATTTTAGCCTTAACTTACTCTTTTTTTATTCCAATGATAGTGTTCCACCTAACATGCACTGGAAAATGTACAAGAAGAGGAAGGATATAACAAGCCATCTTTACAACCTATCCTAGTAGGAATACAAGACAGAAGAACCAAGAGAATCTAGTATACTATTGAAACGCCGTTTTC